AGAAGCCGCTCCAGAGTGGCTGGCACCCGCCCGAGCGCAGAAAGGGCTCCTGCTCGAAGGCGAGCGGCCAGACCGCGGCGTTACCTTCATGTGTTTGCGCAGAGAGCTGGGGTGCGTGTAGGACTTGTCGCACATCTTGCAAAGGTATGGTTTGTCGCTAGTGTGCACGTGCATGTGCTTCTTGCGGTCGCTGCTGTTAGCGAAGCGCCGGTCGCAGCCTTCGAACTCGCACTTGAAAGGCTTCTCCCCTGGTATGAAAGTTGAGAAAGAGATGGGTCTTTTAAAAAAAAATAAATCAGTAGCTGTGTTTCCAAAGTTTAATAGAGAAATTTCAGTAAGTTAAAATGCTAGTTGCCCAGGGGTAGCCCTTTCGAGTTTAAAATCTGGATTTTTAAAAATCCGTGCATCTATAGTGTAACGATGAAGATTTTAACGCCCAAGACCAATGTATCTGCATTTTATTTTTGCTTTGTAGGGTGGTAGTAGTAGCAATAGAAGTAACAAGAACAGTTTTGGATTTTTTTTGTTTGTTTTGTTTTGTTTTTTCTATCCAGAATAGCAAGAGACTCTGGATGCTGGCTTTTCTACCCAGGTCTTTAAGGAGGTCACCCAGTCGCTTCTACTTAGCTCTTCTTTCTAATTTTCAGGACCATTTTCCTTCTGCTTTGCTCTTCTCTCCTCCCTCTTACCCCTCCCAGACACACTGTAAACCCCCCCCATTGCCTCTTGCACCCAACTCCACTCCACCCCCTACATACATCACATGTTATGGTGTGATTTAGAAAGGGGGAGGGAGCTGCAATGCCTAAAGTTCTTACCTGACTGGACCATTAAACCTAGAGTTCAAGTCGGGTTCTCTTCAACCAGACAATGTTCAAATACGGAGGGCTATCAGATCCCCTAATTCTTGGGCCCAAACGACCCGTGATTTCCAGCCTGCCCCCACCCCCATCTCCCGCCCGAAGCCCTGAGTTGCCTGGAACTTGTTTTCTTATTGTTGTTGTTGTTTTGTTTCTTTTTAAAGCTGTCGACTTTCGGGTATTTTTAAAGGCCAACTGGAGAACCCCGCATTTTAAGAACAGTCTCTATGCAGTTGTAACTGGCAGTTAGGATATTTGCACCTTACACCCACTGTCATCACTCCTCAATCCTAACTTGTCAGTTGTAAAATTCATATCTTCAAATATACATAAACCTGATGTCCTCCTCAGATCCAAATTATAACCCCTACCCCAACTACACCCACCACCTGTTTCTTTCTGTTTCTACATCGTTTAACTCAATCTCAACTTCCTCCACCTTTTTCAGTAGCAAAGACTCAGAGAGGGTAGCCACCAGCAAGAGTTTAGATTTGCTTGTAGCTGAAACAACTGGCGCCTCCACGGCTGCCCTACACGCGCCACCTCTCCGGGATTAGAGCTTGTCAAGCGTTTGACCAAACCAGATTCCGGGTTCCAATTCTTTTTATTCCTTGTTTTTAAAACCTGTATGCTCCGATCCTTCTCGTCCACGCTCTCTGTTAGCCCCTATTTCCAGACCCGAACTAAATATCAGATCTGCCTGTTTCCTGGAACCTGAGGCCCAGACCCCAGTGAGGCTGGGTCTGTGCCTCTCAGCCCCCAACTTTCGAATCTCGGCCCGGGTGGGAGATGGAGTATCCTACATAAATTCCATACCTGTGTGCGTCCTTTTGTGGATCTTGAGGTTCTCTGAACGCGCGAAAACCTTGCCGCAGCCAGGGAAAGGGCAGGGGAAAGGCTTTTCGCCCGTGTGCACGCGGATGTGGTTGACCAGTTTGTATTTGGCTTTGAAGGGCTTGCCCTCGCGTGGACACTCCTCCCAGAAGCAGATGTGGTTGCTCTGCTCTGGGCCACCAACGTGCTCCACCGTGACGTGCGTGACCAGCTCGTGCATGGTGCTGAAAGTTTTGTTGCACGACTTTTTGGGGTTGGCCAGCTGCTCCGGCTCGATCCATTTACAGATAAGCTCTTGCTTGATGGGTTGGCGCATATAGCGGAAGAAGGCGCCAGCGCCGTGATGTGCAGCCATGTTCACGTTCATGGGCCCGTAGCCGTGAAGCTGCGGTGCAGCGTAGTGCTCGGATCGCGGGCTGGTCACCTGGCCATACTGCTCCGGCCGC